AATAACACAATTATACTTGTAAGTGGAAAAGGGTTGTCCCTTCTTCCATTGGTTTTGTTAAAAGAGTTTCACCATTTCATTCACGCCTCAAAAACACCTTTTGTCATGTTACAACTACAAACTTCAGCATTGTTTATGTGTATGCTATGTGATAGAACAACACTGAAGTGCATAATGTGCAGTCAAAGAAAAATAATACATGGTTTTAAAAATGTTACTACTTTGTTAGTACTTTGGAAAGCTATGGGGTGTATTTTATGTCCTGTCCTAATATTATGCAATCAATTGCCTTCAGATCACCTCAATAGCAAAAAAAAAAGAATAATATTATAATAATATGTAATTTAATATCAGTATTAATACAGCTGATCTGTAAAGGGTTTGCTGGAGAACATAAGTAAACACAAAACATCGTGACCCAGAAAGACATCAGACAGGTCAAGGATAAAGTTGTGGAGTTGTTTAAAGTCGGTTAGGTAATGTAACAATATCCCAACCTCCAAACATCCACATGTAGTTTGATGCAACTTTTAAAAATGGATAGAGAATGGCCTGACAGGAAACCTATCACAATATGACTGTCTACCTTTACCGACAAGTGGTAACTCTGGAGGAGCTGCAGAGATCCATAACTCAGATCAGGAGAATCTGACAACATAAAAACTATTAATTGTGCACCCCACAAATCTGGCTCTTATGTAAAGTAGCAAGAAGCTTTTGCTGAAGGAAAGCCATGAGAAAATTTAACTTTTTGGCCTACAAGCTGCTATGTGTGGCAGAAAAATAAAACTGCCATCACCCCGAACGCATCAACTCCATGACTGATAACACGGCCAAGGGCCACCCTTTTTTTGCCACACTTAAATGACATCAGCATGTTATGGGTAGGGGATACTTTTCCTCAGTGGGGACAGGAAGTTGGTCAGAGTTGATGAGGAGATGAATGGAGCTAAAGACAGATAAATCATGGAAGAAAACTGGTCAGAGGCACCAAAAGACCCTACACTTTCAAGCAGAGCTATAACTGAATGGTTCAGGTCAAAACTTATTCATGTGTTAAAATGGCCCAGTCAAAGTTTCGATCTAAATCCCATTGAGAATAAATTCATTCAAGTTTCTGTCACTTGATGTGCAAATATGGTGAAGACATACCCCAAAAACTATAACTTCAGAAGAAAATGGTTCTAATAAGTATCAAATTAGGGGGACTAAATTCAAATGTATGCCACACGTTTCAGATATTTGTTTGTAGTAAAACCTAAAAATCATTTGCCTTTCTCTCTTTATAATTACACACTACTCTGTGTTGGCCTAGCACATAATTTTTTAATAAAATATATAGAGGTTTCTGGTTTTAATGTGACAAAATGTGCAAAGGTTCAAGAGTTGTGAGAATGTTTGAAAAGCAAAATTGCATTATTGTGCTTAAACTTTGCCTCATCATACATAAACCATAGTCTTTTGGATTGTATATCTGCACTGTATATCAGCAACTGAGAGACTGTGATTCCAGCTCCCCTTTCATACTGCCTCATGTTGACATGTTTTTCAGGCAAGTCACTGACTCCATGTTGCTTACTGCATGTGTACTTGTGTATAAATGAGACTTGCAAACCAACCCAAATTCAGTCATTAACAGGTGCAAATGTGCAATGCAAAGATTGGGTTCCTCGACTGTATAAAGAGGGAAACAAGATCAGAGTGATATAGAGATATAAGAGACATTATTTTAAAAACATATTTTTACCTAACAAAACAGACTAGACAGAGAATAAGAGTGATATGAATGTGATTCTGATGCTGCTGAAATATGCAGCCCACATTGGATGCTATTTTAATTCATAGCTACAAAGGAGCATCACATTGTGAACAGTTGCAGTTTTGCCTCTTTAAAAGCAAATTTAGATTAGAAGTTTAGTCTTCTAGTTATTCCATTGACTTAGTGCAGTCGTCTACAACTTTTATTACAGTTCCACAGATTTTACTTCTTATTAATTACAGATTTGCTAAAATGACTGGAGCTTTCTGCTTTTTATTTTCAATGCTGGCATAACCCCACGCCCTGCAGCTTCACTGGTGCTCCACAGACCCAAGGATGTGACTGAAGGGAGATGGTGCAGCATATATGCAGCTACCACACACACGGTGCTGCCTTTGGCCTTTAGATCACATGCCAGTACTTTCACTTAGCGTGCCAACTAGCTTGGCTGGCTCCATCATCGCAGTGCAAGTGGGCACGTTCAGCCGCCAGCTGGCAGTCGTGGGCCGCCAGTAAAAGAATGGTACAGGCATGGCACACGTTCAAAAAGTTTTCTCTTCCCTCCCCAAACCCCCTACACTGCAGACGAGGATGGCATGTTCCGAAACTGGAGGCTTTGTTTGAGCGAACCCCCCTCCACTCACAGGAATAGTATCGTCAAAGACCACACGACTCCCATTTTTAGGGAAAAGCTGCAATTGCTACCCCTGCCTCCATCACTATTGTTTCAGGAAATATTTTATTTGTGGGGAATTTTCATAGCCGGTGGCCTCTTTTTTGGATGCAGATGGCACTGCCACGTTTTGTCAGGATTCTGCCTAAAAATAAAAGACTGTTATCTTGGAGGAAACAAAAAAGGCACAGGCGACTTGAGTTTTTGGATTCGTTTCTTGCACATTGGCCATATCTTCAATCTATGTGAGAATTGGAATCTGAGTCAAAGAGAGATTTATTTACAATTATTGGAAATATGCAAGGATGGAAGAAGAGTGGAGGGTAAAAAAATTGCATCAAATATACGTCTGTAATGGGAAAGAAAGGTATGGGTTGCATAAGGAATAGAGGAAGTAAGCAGCAGCCAACATTGCTGCTGCGATGACCTGCTGCCGTCGCATCTTTCAGAAAACACCACCTTAAACAGTATTGCCGCTGATAGGCAGGACGACCGCAAGCTGGCGCCAACTCTCATCTTGGCATGGGATTGCATCTGAGAACCAAAAAAAAAGCGGACCCCCCACAGATCTGCGAGAGAGGCTGAGAGGGTAACACAAACCGTGGGGAGTACCCAAGCATGTGTCAGGTTGGCATCAGAGTAAGAATGTCTTGGCAAGCTCTCGGCTCTCTCCCCTCCCACCTCGGCTCACACACAAACACACTGTTGCCCTGCTTGGAACACATGGTACATCAGCAGCGGCATCTGGCCACGCTGACTCCTGGCAGCTGCGCTTCGTCTTCGCCAGTTGGGCGTCTTGGCACTGCCACTTCATCAACTACCTGTGGCTCCTCCTGGGTAAAAAGGCGAGCGATGAATTATTCCAAGGCTGCAGCTGCAAACTTGACTTTCATCCAAGAGTTTCACTGTAAACATATGAACGTTTCAGTGAACACATGCCAGCCACATATCGATGCGCGGTTGACAACACGGCTTGTGTTTTGCACAATGTGATGTGATGCCCTTGTGTGATGGCTTGGGTGTTTTTCAATGCAGAAGATCTGCTCTTAGATGACTCTATGGATTTAAAGCTAGCTCGTTCAGGATCTGAAAGCTTATTGCTTACAAAAACTGATTTTAAGCCACTGATGCAGTGCACACAGGCCTAGAAAAAGACCAAATATCCCAAAGTACTAAAAGGGAACTTTATTTGGAGCTTATAGCTTTCAGACTATTTTTGTGTTTGTAATTTTTACTAAAGAGTTAGTTCAAAGGGCAAAAACCAAACTGAATAGAAACTGAATAGGCTTGAAATAACATCCTTGGTTCTAATTTATGATGGATGTCTCTGTTAACCAAGGGCAGTTTTCCTTTACACATTTTTGAGCTGTGCTCCCCAAGACTGCAGGAAATGCCAACACCTCTCATTCTCTCTCTAGGCTATTCTTAAAATCTCAGTTGACTTTTCTTGCACAACCACCTTCAAATGGAAGGGTTCCGCCACTGAGATCAGCGTCAGGGTCAAATATTATTTGTTTCTGTTTATACAAGAAGCAAAGAAAGAGATGTTTAGACAAAGTTTGAAGAAAGTTTTAAATTCCTAACATGTCCTTGGTTTCGGTATTTTTCATACTTGGCTTTCAATGTCTTGAGAACTGCATGATGCAATTTGATCTCACAGGTTACATCTGTATTTCCAGTCTTATTTAAAGAGACTAGCAGGTTGTTATAGCTAACCTATCAACTTTTCAACATTATCTGTCATTCACAATCTTACCTCAATGTTTTTCTGTGGCTGTTAGTCACGTGATGGTTTGCCAGGGGGATTTTTCCCCCCATCTGTGTCAGTCTGACCCATTTTAGCCCTTGGCCATGTCCAACTGTTCCACGTCCCAAACATATGTGGGGTGGCAGGGGGATAAGCGAACCATCGCCATACGGGACCTGCATACACACATTGCTGATACGACACTGGACCCCGCCTTCTCGTGTGTGACCTTTCCAAAGCACCCCTTGAACTGGGCATAAGCGCTGTAAATGTGATTATCTGTTTAAATTAAATGAATCCTCTTTTCATTATAATTATGCTTTTCTTTTCTACAAAAATTTGAGGCCAATATTTTCTTCTGTGTCTCCCAGCCAACACCCACCCCAAGCTCTTGACTTGGTGGTCAGACTGACTTTGCTTTCTTTTGCAAATCTTAACTTGAGCCAGTGAGGGCAGGATTGGCCTGTCAGAGGATAAATTAGGGTGTTTTCAAAGTGGTCCATGTTGGCAGATGAGATGGTTTCATTGCACAGAGCCTGGACCCACTGGGGACACATGGGTGTGAGGCACATATGGGCAAACAGTCTGCTGATGAGCTGCTTACATGAGCCTCTCATCATGGCCTCAGAGAGTTGTCTCCACCAGAGGATTTGGAAGAACTGTGGATATGCATTATCTGTTGTGGAAGCAGATTTTTACATACATATGTTCTTCCTTTAGATGTTTTAAAACACAGAGAATTATTGTGGGCAGCGTTTAAAAATGAAGCTATAAACATGCCACTTAGTTGTTTATATTTTCTTGAAACATTTTATACAGGGCTCCACGGTGGTGCAGTTAGTAGCACTGTTGCCTTGCAACAAGAAGGCCCTGGGTTCAATTCCCATCTGGGGGTCTTTCTGCATGGAGTTTGCATGTTCTCCCCGTGCATGCGTGGGTCCTCACCGGATACTCCGGCTTCCTCCCACAGTTCAAAGACATACCTGTTAGGTCAATAGGTGTATGAATGACTGTGTGCATGGTTGTTTGGACTGGCAACCTGTCCAGGGTGTACCCCGCCTCTCGTCCATAGACTTCCGGAGATAGGTACCAGCTTCCCTGCGACCCACTATGGAATAAGCGGTAGAAAATGATTGACTGACATTTTATACAGACAGAGAGAAAAAAAGAAGATGCAGGGAATTTAACATAAATAAATCACCTATTGACTGTGACAAGATACAGAATGCTCCAGCATTTTTTGATGGCTCTCCACTAATGCCTTATTGATTTTCTTCTTTCCCCTTTAACTTCAATATGTAAGGATGGAAACTTTTCGGCTGGTGGGCAGTCATGAAGGCCTTCGTCCTTCCTATATAATCATGTCAGAAGCTCTAACCTGCTTTCTCAACAAAATCCTGTCAAATGATGAGGTCTCATAAAAAAATACTTTATATCATTCCTTATAGTTGCACAGCTAAGCTAAATTTTAACTGCAATAGTAACGTCTTTCCTCATATTTAAACTAGGTTCACAGTGACATAAAATAATAATAATAAATAAAAATAATAATAATATGCATATGGAGGTTAGTGCAAAATTTAAAGCAATCGTAGAATTTTTTTGCAAAACTGTATGAAAACCTTGGTTTCTCAAGGGTTCTAAGAAGGTACTGCTGTTTCAGGCTCTAACTAATTGACAAAGCTGTTCTGACTGAGAGCAAGAAAATAATATATTTTCCATGCACCCTGTTTGTGAATTTTTTTTAGACTTTATTCAGTCCTGGCCAGCCATCTGTCTTGGTCCTCCCACAACGATGCAGCACAGTCAGCCACATACACAAAAACACACACACACCCTCACTCACCCTTAGCCAACACACAAACGTTGACAAACACATACACCCACACACACACGTGCAGACACACACACACACACACACACACACACACACACAAAAACACTCATGCACATACATACACACACTGCGAAGCTGCCAGGCTGCTTGGGTGGTGTGCTGTTCACTGGGAGCCAGTGCCATATGCTGTCTAGTATCCCAGGGAGGGCAGAGCCTGCTGCTTTACTGTTGTCCTAACTCTCAGGGAAACCCAGTGCACTACAGCACCTTATTTACTGCCAGTCTGTACACTTAACTTACTTTATTTACTCACCCTGTGTATTCTATGAGAAGGTAGCTGTCTGTATTGAGGATGCTATTGTAGGGAGACCAATCAAAGTATACACTGATAAAAAAAAATGTGAAAACACAAACTGTCGTGACCTATGACAACAGGAATCAGTGCAGCAGGAAACTTGAATCTTTATTTGAATGGTTAGAATCTAACTTGACAAATTAACATTACTGAGAGCCAAAGCACAAAAGTTTCCGAAAACTAACCATGGTTCACAAAAAGTCCCAAAAATTCTTAGTGAAACAATTATTGCAAAATTTAATCCAATGATTTTTTATTATCGACCTACTGAATATGATTGCTTTGTAATTGGCTTGAAAAGGAATGTAGCATATTGGAATAACTTAGTTTTGAAATGGATTTCATTCTGAATATGACTTAATTGAACAGACTTTTTATTGGACTGAACTGAACTGCATGTAATTTAACTATAGAAAAACGTATTTAACTTTACTGTAAATTACCCTGAGGTTACTTTAGCTGTAAACTGGAACTAAATGAATACACTGAACTTGGCTAGATGGAAGGTAAAATATCAAGGAAGATTAAAAAACAATTGTCCAAAAGGACTGTTTGACATCACAGTTTTTGAAACAGAAGAAACCACTTGTACACTCATCATATGTAACATCTGTAAAGCCTACATGTTATTCAATATAATTTCTTTGATGGATAGTTTATGATTATTTGAGGAAGGCTTTTGTGGATAATCAGTGATCAGTAATGAACAATTTCTGTTTAGAGAATCAAGAAAGCACTTTCATAGAGGACATTTAGAATTTTGACTTCTTTTAGATTTCACAGCTGACATACAAGCTGAGCTTTGCTGCAGCATAAGTGAAATATACAGGGGTTGGACAATGAAACTGAAACACCTGTCATTTTAGTGTGGGAGGTTTCATGGCTAAATTGGACCAGCCTGGTAGCCAGTCTTCATTGATTGCACATTGCACCAGTAAGAGCA